GGGGGGGGGGGGGGGGGGGGGGGGGGGGGGGGGGGGGGGGGGATTCTACCCGGGGGCCTTGAGCCCTAGGTGAACTTAATTCGAAAATTATTTGGGGTTGTTGCTGTTTTTCGCAAGGACGGGGGGAACCAATTCTCCGTGACCCTCCAAAGGGTTATTGTCAGGGAGCATGTTGTTACTCTCGTTGTCTATTTGTTGCCGTCAAAGCGTTTTCAGTTCTAGGTCCAGGATAGCAACCAACCACGCTTGACACGGGCGTATGCATAATACTTGCTCACAAGTCTGTGCTACGAACAGTGTGAGTGAATGGGCTTACATTACGATATAGTTCAACAGAAGCAACACGAACTTTGAATCAAAGCAAGGAATCGAAGACTCATAACCGCTTGATGTCGGATTCTGGCCATTTTGTTCTCAACAGCGGGCCGCCACAGCCGCTCATCGAGGGGCCGACGGGCCACCGACAGCGACGGCGAAGACAGAAGCAGCGGTACCGGCGGAAGCAGCAGCAACGGCGACGAAAGTGAGGCAACAGCACTGGTGATTCAAAACGTCCCCAGTAACCCACCGCAGCGGTACTTTGGGGACGATATCGTGCTCCAGGTTACGAAGACGGGGGACGTGGTGAGTGGAAGGAATGGAAATAATTGATCGATTGTTGCTGCCTCAAAATCAAGTATGGCTATGAGGCCCCTCAACCACCATCCCCATATACACATGTCTCCCGGCAGCCGTGCAATATCTCTCGTATGTCCTCGGAAAATCCCCGCCTTGGCGTGTGTGTGTAGTGAGTGCCGTACGTCCAACTGCACCGCTCCGCTCACAACGCTCTGTCCTTGCCGCTTCATACCTCGACACAGATCGAGAACTACTACATTTCTACTGTAGAGCTCCCACGCCAAGTGCTTTTGCCCTTCCCCATTTTGCGGTATCTTGCTTGTCGCCAACCCCAACACGGCACCGCGGGACAACGCCCAGGTCGCATCATGCTGATTTTCGTTCTATGAAGTGCCGCTGGAGAAGGATACGTTTAACAACCTCTAACGTGTACGAATATTGCATCATGGAACCGTCTAGCTCGTACACTGGACTACGGTGTAGAGTGCCGCACTCTGGGCTAGAGTACAGGATACAGTGGTGTACGACGTCCACACTAGACATTTGAGATGATGACCTATCCGCCATGCTCCTGCCGCCCTCTGTCCAGGTGGTGACGGTCGGGGGACGTATCGCCGTTGAGAAGCGAAACCCGTTTGGGAGACATGCTGAGGAGTTCGAACCGAGTGAGGGGCAGGGATGTTGGCTCGAGAAACAGCTGGGGAAGGCCAACCCGCTGGCGATACTGGGAAGAATAATCCGGCGAACCGCATGCGCAGAGAACGCAACGGCAGCGGGGGCAGCAATGGTGTCGACGGGATCGTTAGCTTTGGATACTCTCTCCACGTCGTGGAGAAGGGTTTCGAAGTGCAGCTAGACGGCGTGTTTGTGTGGGGGTGGGACGTCGACAGAGAAAACCCGCAGCCGTTTGATGTGGGATACGCGCTAGCTACTTGTGAGTTCTGTTGGCGCCACCCGCGGTAGATGTTCGTATTTGTTTGAAAGTGAGGGACGGGGGGGAGTGTACTCATAGTCGTGCATGCCGTAGTCGTTAGACCATTGACCTCGCATCCCTACAAAGCCGGGACGGAGCACGCCGGGTTCTCACCGGACCAGGCTCTCACATCACCAAGCGCGAAGCGCCGTGAGATATTCGGCGAGTCGCATGAAGGGTGCGCTGCATCCTGCTAAGGGTGTTCGGCATCTTGTGCTTACTTCCTTGCGTACGGATGACAGCTGCGTATGAATTAATTTATTTTCTGGTGCTTTCACTTCCAGAGACAGTTGTAAGCACTGTGTAACTGCCTCGAGGGTGCTTGACCATTTTAACACAACGTGGTGCGCTCATCCCCCTTGCGCGGATTGAGGGTTCTCCACCCCGCACAACATGATCTACTCGACCACCGTTATGGTTACCGCCAAAAAAAAATACAGAGGAAAAAACAAAAACGGAAACCTGGTTGCCGAGTTCGGGGTCGAAGTATCCTCGGCTAGGATCTTGGAGTTTGATGTTGGCACGAATAAAACAAGCGAAGCACGACGGACCAGTTTCTGTGTTTCAATTGGGTTGATTGTACCCCCAAGGAATCGATTGGCGAGGAGCACCAAGTATTTCCGGGAAGCTGTGGCGAAAACATTCCGGAGTTCGAACTGATTTGTTTCTTGCGATACTCCTTACTCGACGGTTGGTTCTGGGCGTTTCATTTTGCGAAAAAATAGTCGATTTGTTTCCTTTAATATGATTATTCAGGTGTGGTGGGGGGCCGACTCCCTTTTCGGTGGATGGCGCCTGTTGCTATCCCTCTGGTGTGCTGGTCGGTATGTTGCTTGTTCAAAAACGTCGGTCGACGTGTACGCACTGGCTGAAAACAGGAGGTCGCAGGTTGCATGGTACCTTGCACCCCTGATCTCACTTAGGCCTTCTTCCTAGCGTAACAAGTCCACAGCTAGCGAGCGAGCAGCCGTCGGTAGTGCTCTTGGCCCGTGCCTGTTTGCTGTTGGCTGTTGGCGATTGACACGTACGAATTGTCTGTCCGATATGGGCGTTGGTGGGAGGGGAAGTCTATAACGGTGTGTGTGCCGGCCGGAAGGTGATACTTCATACTCCTCATGCCCTGTAAATCCCGATGCCTTTTTTGTGGCAAATATACTATTTCCCGCGATGAGAACTTGTGGTTCGGCACGCTGTATGCTTCGGCGCACGAAACGAGCAGTGTTGAGGCTCGCATGAATGACAATATTTCGATGCGGGGCTCTCGTTCTGCTGTAATTACTTCCTATGTACGGCACGGGGACGAAGGTACACAGTTGCAGTTTTGTGCCCTCGTCTACAGCAGACGCCAAGATCGAAAAAGACAGCCCCCTCGCCACCGATGCCGCACTCGGGGGCGAAATCTTCTACAAACAAGGGCTGTGCCTACAGCAACGACAGAGATAGCTCCAACTATGTATGTGGCAGCAAAGACAACCATCCCATCGCATGTGATCCCGCGAGCCGTACTCTATGCAAGTCCCCTCCGCGACGTATGCTTCCGTCCACCCTGAGGCTCTCCGCGATACGATACGAAGTCGAGAATCTACGGGCCCCCCTTCACTCACTCGGAGTACCGCGGCAAAACTTTCATACGGCGTACAGAGCCTGTCAAGGTTACAAAACAGTGATAAAACCCCAACCACACGCCCCTATCGGCGGCCACGTCAGGAGGCAAGGATGAGATAATGTTCTCCCGTGCGCTTCTCACATTGATTGAACGACATGCCATTACACAATAATAAGGTAAATAAATATGTTCTCCCGCGCCGCACATACATGCCCCCATACATCACAAACAAAAAATATGTTGATGACGAAACTATACACACCCCGAGACGCGCTTGCTCCGCAACCACATAAGGGTGCTATGATAGAACACCCGACAAACCGAGTTCCCCTTAATCTTCCGTCTACAACTTCCTAACATAACATACAGATAGATACACAAGATGGCTACCAAACTGCCTTGTTGAGCCTGTTACCCACAGGGGAGTTGTTATCGTTGTATGCTGTCTGGGAAACCGTGGACATACAGGTAGCCTTTCGCTCACGCCATGGATTCATTGCTAATCTATCTTACACTTATTCCTATAGAATAGAGATGGGTTTGTTGTACGACACTAAGGACAAAAAAATAACTGAGATATTCATTTTCTATAGAATTGATTATTGATTGAATATATATGCAGTGCTCTGGTTGCTCTGGAGCCGAAACCAAGCCAACGACTTCGTTCGGCAACCAACCCGGGGAATTGAAGAGAGACAACAAAAACAGCATATTCATTTTCGATGAAATTGATCATTGATTGAATATATATGCACGCAGTGCTCTGGTTGCTCTGGAGCCGGAACCAAGCCAACTATTTCGGCAACCAACGCGGAAAATTGAAGAGAGACAACAATAACAGCATGCTGTAGGCACGCACAGCCCCTTCAAGACAACCGGACCGAATCAGTCCACCCATCCATCTCGAGTCATGCCGGCCATATATCTGTCGAGAAAAACTGTTACAACGTAGTCAGGCACAGTTTGCGATAGGTAGGTGCGACTGCGGCAACCAGCCTTCCGTAGAAATACTACAGAAAGAAGAGATGGTACTCAGCAGAGAACATGAGCACAGAGTTGTGGCGGATATAATTTGTTTGGCAGGTGAGACTGTAGTTCTTCTATTGTTCTGAACCCCGAAATTCCGGTACCGGGGCCATCTCGGAGACCCTCGGAACCTGCTGTGTTTTTGCTGCTTGTTTTTTGTTTTTGTTTGTTGTTGAGATGAGACACAAGCGCGTCTTCGCCTCTTTGTGCTCACTCTCATCTAGCACCCATCAAAGCCTGACCAGGGAATCAGTTGATAAGAACATCTATCTACATTTCTCTTTCCAAAGCTCGCTCGGGCCTACCGATCTCACAGCAGTGTAGACCAACCTCTGTGATAGAGCGGTGACAGCAGTGTAAACTCTGTGGTAGACTACAAAGTCTACGAGCTACAGCAGCACCGCCACCTCCGCTGCTGCAGGACGCCACATTTTGTGAGGTTATGAGCCTCGCTTTACGCGAACACTAGGAGCTGCGGACGTCACGACGGAAGTCAAGACATCCTACTGCTGTGGACTACAACATCCGTCTGTGGACTTCGAGTGGAAATCTGGATTCGGAAATTTGGGAGATCATCAACGGTCAGCGGAAACGAAAGTGAGCGCACTACTTGGTCATCTACACCAAGGGGCTGAGAGTTCATTATACACACACGTTA